CCACCCAGCCCACCTGTTCTGGGCATTACACTCAATGAGATCACAGGCCGTGTGACCTTTGCATCTGGCTTCCTGGACTGGGCATGACGCCTCTCAGGCACAGCATGTTGCAGCATGTCAACCCTAATAGGGACTGGACGCTGGGTGACCCCCACTGCAGGGCCTTGCCACCCGCTTACCTGGTGATCTGTCCATCTGCTGAGGAGCATCTCACTGTCATCAACTTGTGGCTATTGTAAATAGGGCTATAACAAACATGGGTAAACATTTGCTTAGGTCCCTGCTTTAAACTCTAAGTTTAATTATTTGAAAAATTGCAAAAACATTTTCCATATCTGCTGCTCCATTTTACATTCCATACAAGCAATGCACAGGGATTCCATTTCGCCAGGTCCTGGCACCTGTTACTTTACATCTTTTTAAATGATAGGCACCACTTGTGTACAGCAGGATCTTACCTGGTTTTGATCTGCATTTCCTTATGGACTGACTGAGCACTGTTCCACATGTTTGTTGGCCATCTGTACATTTTCTTTGGAAAAATGTCTATATGTCTATTCTGCCTATTTTTAAACTGGGTTATCATTTTGTTACTGAATTGTGGATGTCCTTTACATATTCAGGATATGGACCATTATTAGACATACAATTTACAAATCTCTCCTACCATTCTATTCATCTGTTTGTTTTCCTGATAACAACGCACAGGAGTGCACCTAAATTTAGAATTTAGAATTACCAGTTGACAGATTTTCTTCCTGCCAGTTTTGAAATGTTCCTGCTCTCTTCAGCCATTGATGGCTTCTAAGGAAACCCCACTGAGGATCCATCCCTTGTATGTGGCCAGTAGCTTCCCTCTTGCTGCCCTCAGGATGACCTTTTGGCCCATGAGTTTGAATGTTTGGTCATATGTCTCAGCATGGCTCTTTCTCTGTTTATACTTCTTCGAGTTCACTGAACTTAGTGAATGTATAGATTTGCGTCTTATCAAACTTAGGAAGTTCTGGGCCATTATTCCTTCAAATCTTCTCAGTGCCCCTTCTCTCTCCCTTCTCTTCTGCCAGGATTACCATCATGTGTATTTGGTACACTTGATGTTATGAGGTTTTCATTCCTTCTCCTTCTGGATAATTTCAATTGACCTCATGTAAAGTTCACTAAATCTGCTATTAAAAACTTCTAGTGAGTCTATCTATTCATTCATTATATTTTCAACTCCAGCACTTGCTTCCTTTATATAAATTCTATGCCTTTCCTGAAACTCTCTCCTTGTTCATACATCTCTTGACACCTCTTAGCAATTTCCCCAAACTTCTCTTCAGCAACTTGGGCAAACTTAAGACAGCTGATTTAAATTCCTTGTCTAGTAAGTTTGATGTCTGGCCTTCCTCACAATTTCTATCAATTTCTTCTCAGAATGGGCCAAACTCTGTTTCTTTGCATGCTTTGAAATATTTTGTGAAAAACTAGACATTATTACCAGGTAATTCTGGAAATCAGGTATTTCTCCCTCTTCTGGATTGGTTTGTTGATGCTGTAAGCTACGTCTGCCTCTGCTGAGCGACATCTCTGAACTCTGTGTGGAGTGTGCACTCCCTCTGGGAGTGGTCACGAAGGCCTCTGCCAGCGGCTCTAATGCTCTGGGGCCTGTGCTCTGCTGCAGTGACCTACAGGACGCACCAGGCCACAGGCAGCTCGGCCTCGGCCTCCCGTCCCTTCTTGCTCTGAGCCTGGCGATCAGTAACAGCCACAAGACCTTGTCCAGTCTCTTCCAAGCATTCCTCCAGTTCTCAACTTGCACATGGCTTTCGAAACTCCTCAGTACACAGGCACTTTGAATACCCAAATTCCCAAAGAAGCTCTCTCCCCACCTCTTCTGCCTGGAACTCAACATGCTGCTGTCATCCTGACTGTCACCTTCGCCACAGGCTCCTACAGCTGCCCCTTCTGGACATTTGGAAAGGCCACTGCTGCTTCAGTCACTGAGTGAGCTGCACATCAGGCAAACAATTCAGCAGCTTCTCTGGTGCTGGACATCTCTGACTGCTTCCAGAGCTCAGAAGAAGTCAGGGCTGACAGCTTCTGCTTGGTGTTGTTTCAAAGTTTCATGGAGGGCAGCACCTATGGCTCAAGGAGTAGGGTGCTGGCCCCATATACCAGAGGTGGCAGGTTCAAACCTGGCCCTGGCCAAAAATTGCAAAAAATAAAAAGTTTCTCAAAGTTTCATGGAAGCAGCAGCAGGAGGAGCTGCCTACTGTGTGTCTCATCCCATTACCACCCTGTCTGTTTCTGAATAATACAATCAATACGCCAGGAACAAATCTCTGCTCAGCCCAAACGTCACAGTTAAAACAGAATTTAAAATAAGTTGTAATCTATACTACGCTCTTAAAAAAACAGTACAAAGTTACACCTAATTTACCTGGCCATTTGGGGTTCTCCACCCCAAAACTAAAGCTCACCTTCTTTGCTATAACTCCACCATGCCACCATTTTTAAGCATCAAAACTTTTTAATAATTAATTTTTCAATTCAGTGGAAAAAAGCATTTTCATCAACTGGTACCAAGACAACTTGATATTCATGCAAAAGAATGTGGACCCAAATCTCACATCACACACAGAATATTAAGGGAAAATGAATCAAAGACGTAAGTACAGGGTGGACATGAAATCTGTGTGCAATTTAAAGTAGCTTCACATAGTGACTTGAACACAAACTTATGTCTACCCTGTGTTAAGAGTTAAAACTATTCTATAAGAAATCATAGTAAATGCTTATAAAGTTGGGCTAGCAGATTGTTTCCTGGATACAACAACAAAAGCACAAGAAACAAAAGAAAAAAAATAGATAAAACTTAGAATGTGACACAACAGAGGGCATCATCAGGACAGTGAAATTAGCCCACAGGATGCATCTGACACAGGGCTTGAATGTAGGCTTTCTAGAGAACTCTTACAATTCAACAATAAAAGACAAATAACCCAGTTAAAAAGTGGACAAAGACCTGTGCAAATGTCCCAGAGAAGATATGCAAAATGGTTAACATGCATATAAAAAGATGCTCAGCATCATTAATCAGTAGGAAAATGCAACCCCAAACCATCATGAGATGCTACTTCACACCCACTATAATCAAAAAGTACTGGCTAAAATCCAAAGGGCAGACACGGCCTGGCAGAGTGATTCACATCTATAAAAATCCCAGGACTTTGGGAGGCTGAGATAGAAGCTGACTAGAACCCAGGATTCTAGGCCTAGCCCTGGGCAATATAGCAAAAAATGACCATCTCTACAAAAAAATGTAAAAATTAGCAAGGTGTGGTGGTACACACTTCAGTTTCAGCTACTTGGGAGGCTGAGGCTAGAGGACCATCTGAGCCCAGGAATTAAGAGTCATGGCACGTTGTGACCATGCTATTGCACTCCACCCTAGACAACAGAGAGACCCGTCTCTGAAAAGAAGAGAGGAGAGAGAGGAGGAGGGAAGGAGGGGAGAAAAAGAAGAGAGGGGAGGGGAGGAGGGGAGGAGAAGAAGGAAAAAAGGGCAGACAGTAACAAGCGCACACGTGTGAGTGAGGACAGGAGAAACTGGGACCCTCGGACACTGTTGACAGGAACGGGAAACAGTGTGGCCAACTGTGAAGACAGGTTAGCAATCCTCAGAATGCTCACCACAGAGTTACCATAGTGTACAGCAATTTCACTCCTAGGCATACGTCCAAGAGGAACAGAAACGATGTTAACACAAAAGCTGGTACACTAATGTTTAAAGCAGCATTATTCACTACAGTCACAAAGAAGAGACAACCCAAATGTCCATGAAAGGATAAAAAAATTCTGGTATACCATTCAGTGGAATATGATTTGGCAGGAAAAAAGAAATAAAGTAGTGATGAATGCTACTACAGGATGAACTCTGAAAACAGGCCAAGTGAGAGAAGCTAGTGACAAAAGCCCACCTACTGCACATAATGAAATGCCCAGAGCAGGCAGACCCCAGATAGACAGCAGGCAGGTGGCTGCCTGGGGCCAGGTGCAGAAACGAAGGGCAAGAATCAGGACATCTTCTTGGACGTCACTGATATTAAAAGCGTTCTAAATGTATCTGATGAGGATGGATGAACAATTGTATGAATACACAAAAAAACACTAAATTATATACTTTAAGAGGGTGAATTTTATTGTTATGTAAAATACAGCCCAGTAAGCTGTTAAAAATAATTTTTGAAAGGATTATTTCAAGTAAATAATTCATTTTATATGTCTACTTACACATAGAAAATACAAACTCCGCTCCAAACTTCACCTTCAAACAGACTGGGATTGTCAGGAAGACCCACTGGGTTTTCCAGTGTCTCCCTCACAGCCAAAGTCTCAGTCATTTTTACTACCACCTGCATATTTGTTAATCGTTTCTCCCACTCCTAATACATTGCTTCTTTTCTGTAGTGTGGAATAAAAAGTCATGCAAACAAGTTCTTTAATAACAAAAATTAAGCCAGGATTCAAGCCCCAAAAGGAGGCTATGCATCCCTCAGTCACCACACCAGGCCATGGCTTCACTCCTGTGTTCAAAGGCCTTCCACTACATGCAGTCTATGCCATGGTACAGAAGCCAATCTTGTGTGTGTCTAAAATATAACACCAATATAGATTTCAGACAACATGTTTCACAGAAAATGTACATGTGCTAGCTGGGTTTCACAGTCTCAGTACTGTGATAGGGCAATTATACAAAAGAGCCCGGGTGTTTGTGTGTATCTCTCTATATAAAAACATGAACATAAATGTATATACATATGTCAGGTATCCAGAATATAAATAAAATAAAAATCTACCCTGAAATTGTATGCAATATATAAGAAAATTAAAGATACAATATACAATCACATAATACCATTCTCAGTAACAGAATTAAGACATTTTCTTTCATTTGCAGTATTAACTGTGAAATGATGATCACATCCAGTGAACAGGGTGAAGAGCATCTTGCTAACCTCTCACTGTGAGCTTGCTATACAGCTGTGAGTTTACTTCCTTGTCTCGCTGAAAACGCCGAAACTCATCAATTGCTTCCCGAATGATAATAACAGCCAAGACAAATCCCTATAAAACAAAATAAGGAATTTTAGAAAATGAAATTTTAACAAAAAGAAAAAATTTTACTATTCAGTTTTACTTTTTTCTTCAATTTATATTACTCTCTAAAACATAAAATGAAAACAAAGATAAAAAGTAACAATGAAACATTACAAGAGGAACATAATTCAATGTGAAAGACTTATAACTCTTAGTATACCCAAGAAAAAACTTCTAAATTCACGTCATAATGTGTACTTCAAGCTAAACATAAGAATAGACTCAGTAACCTCTACCCCCAAAACTAACAATCTTCAACAACCACATGAATCGTTATTTAAAATACTTAGGCATTCAAATATCACATTAACAATGAGTGACAGAAAGATCTCATACTTAATTTCTGCACTTAAATCTTTGTGATGAGCTAACAGCACACAGAAGCATAGAATAACCCCACATGAGATGCTCAGACCAGCCAATCTCCCCACACGACACAGTGCTACAAATTGCTCAGAAGAGCATACTTACAGCATCTCCACCTCACTTTTTAAGTAAAATTATTTTTAAGTAAAACTTGTATATACTTGTAACCCACTGTGAAATCTGCCCCACCACTCCCACACAGCAGTGTCCCCCTCTGAACAGGCTGCACAGGTATTTTCTGACTCGTTGGAGGAATATTCTTCTAGTCACTCTCCCATGATTAAATAAATAAACCTCCTCAACAAATTTGCTAACTGATGACCTTGCTTCAGTCTACACCGTAAATAACACAACACTAGATGAGCTTCTATTGGAAGGACAATAATCTTTTTATTACAGCTTTTTTCTTCTGTATAACCAATAGGTTAAATTAAGTGTGATGTTGTAGAACATGTTTCTTATAATTACTGAAATGGTATTTTTCTCGAATACCCTATTTTAAAAGTCCTGCAAATAGCACAACTCAGACATGTGTTCCTCTAGCTCACAGCTTATGTCTCAGCCTTCCTGCCATCTGTATTCAGCTAGTCCACGCTGGAAACATCTCCAGGTCACTTTCAAGCCCATGCTAGACTCCCCTGGGCCCACTACCCGGCCCTTCCTCAACACACCAAGTTTCCTTCCTTGTGTGCACACAAAGCTATCAGGACTCAGCATAATTCCTTCATCACAACTCAAGTAAAACTACTCAATTGAGGTGGGCCACATACAGAAACACCTAGCCCTGTGCATGCCCACAGCTCACCAACTCTTTCTTCCCAATTCTCCATCTGGAGGCGTCCTGGACGCCACACAGCCTGGCTGCCCCTCTGTGGTCCTGTGCACACATGGCCTGAGGGAGTCTCCAGCATCACTGCCATGGCTATTCCTCCCATTATTCCCAGTGCCCCTCACCACTTCAGCTCACCCTACACCACCACACGGAGTCACCAATCCCTCCCCATCATTTCTGCTTCCTTCACAAAACGTGGCCCTCCCCAGCACCCAGGCCTAAGAGTGCACAGACCTGTGGTCTTGCCTCCTGCTCTCCTGGAATTGCTGGTGATGACTCCCATTTCATCTTTGCATCTCCAGAGGTTACTGGAAGCACCTGGTCAACTCCTGGACTCGCTGAGAACCCAGCTGTGACTGCCTGGAAAGGTGCCCCATTCACAGAGGCAGGTGCAGGGAGGCGTGAGCCTCATCTTTTCTGCCACAGTCCCCACTGAAGACAGCTGCGACTGGCTAGACTTAAGTCCCTCACCTCCGTCTTTTAGCACATTCTGTTTCCTTTTCTAGTGACAGTTTTGCTGATATAGAACTCACCTGCTATAAAACTGATAATTTAAAAGTCTACGATTCATTGTTTTTAGTACCTTCACAGAGCTGAGCAACCATCACCACCATCTAATTTTAGAATATTTCCTTTACCCCAAAAGAAACCCTGTACCCAATAGCAATCACCTCCCATCCCTCCCACTCCCAGGCCCTGACAACAGCTTTCAGTCTCTGTGGATCTGCTCATTCTGGGTGATGGTTAGTATTTCTAGGAGCTGCCAAACTATTTCCCAAAGTGGTTGTAGCACTTTACAAGCCCATCAGCAAGGAATCAGAGTTCCAGCTGTCCACACCCACCCATGCCCATTACCAGCTGCCATTGGAACTGTAGCCATTACTGGAGAGTAGGATCCTACAGTTTTAATTTCCACTCCCCCTAGTGACTAATGATGCTGAGCAACTTTTCATGTGCTATTGGCCACCTGCATGTCTTCTTTGGGTAAACGTCCATTTAGATTCTTTACCCACTTTTCATCTGTGTTATCTGTCTTTCAGTTGTTGAGTTGTGGGAGTTCTTTATTCACCAGGGATACAAATACCTTTTTAGATATGTGGCTTACAAATATGAGCTTATGTGGGGAAGGGGGAGCGTGAGGCAGCAGAGCCCCACAGCCTGGGGAGACTTCCCCCACCATTTCCACTCAGGTTATTTCTCCTTCCCCATGCTGGTTTCCAAAAATCTTACAAATTTTTTTCCATTCTGAGTTATTGCTTCATTTTCTTTTTTCTTTTTTTTTTTTTTTTGAGACAGAGCCTCAAGCTGTCCCCCTGGGTAGAGTGCTATGGCTTCACTGCTCATAGCAACCTCCAACTCCTGGGCTCAAGCGAGTCTCCTGCCTCAGCCTCCCAAGTAGCTGGGACCACAGGCACCTGCCACAACACCCGGCCATTTTTTGGTTGCAGCCATCATTGTTGTTTGGCGGGCCCGGGCTGGATTCGAACCCGCCACCTTAGGTGTATGTGGCTGGTGCCTTAGCCGCTTGAGCCACAGGCGCCAAGTCGAATCTTCTGAATTCTTAACTGGATCATTACAGATACGTGCCTTATGGAAGGTCTGGATAAGCAAATATTGTTGCAGGAACAGCTGAATCTTCTCATTACCTCAGGACCAACTAGGTAAGAGATTTAAGCTTTAGCTCCCTGAAAAAGTCAAAACTAGATGCAAGAAAGGCCATAGTAAAATACCATTGCCCTGGAAACGGTAGTACCTGTGCCTGAGCTAGACAACATGGCCTGTCCACAGCCTTTCTCAGTCCTTCTCTAGATAACCCTAAAGCAGTGGTTCTCAACCTTCCTAATGCCACAACCGTTTAAATAAATCTCCCACAGGTTGAGAACTGCTACCCTAAAGCCATGCAGTATAAGCACCAAAATAATATACATTTTTATAAAAAGATAAAAAATTATACTGGTACATTACCAATTTACCTTTGGGGGGTTATCATATGCCACACACTTCTCCAAATGCCTCAAATGAGTTACCCTGTTTAAATGTCACAAGAAGCCTTGCATGACATGTCCCTTTGCCTCTGACTTAGAGATGAGTGAGCTCAGACACAGAGAGTAAGGAACTCCACCAAGGTCACACGGCTCACTGACAGAGTCACCCTGGATGGCAGCATGTCAAGTAACTGATTTTTTTTTTCCTTTCCATTTTTGGCCTACACCTCCAATGCACAGACCCTCACAAAAAAAGGGTGGATGGAGGGAAGGATTTCAAAGTCAGACTGAAAATCCAAGTCCTAGCAGACTGGCTTCTCCTAGCACATGCTCACTCCTGATTAGGCACTGACAAGTACTAGGAAGCTGCTGTACCCAGAAAGTACAGGGGTAAAAATCCTTACAGCCCAATTTTTCTTCATCTAAAAATTTTCTACCAGGATAGATGCATTCCACCTTATTAATTCTGACGAAAGCATTACAATCTGTTTTGTTAATTACATCAGTTTGCCTTGAAGAATTGTTCTGAAAGCTCAACAAATGAAAGTAGTCATTATTCTGATATAACACAATGGAATCACTTTATATTCCATTTACTCTTCTATATATGGGAAAGTATAACAGAACTTAGTTCAGAACTAAAGCTAATGAACACTATTTCCTAGAATAATTAAGTTATCACTGTTTCTAAAAGTATCCCAATTTTAGTTAGAGGGCATGAGCTTCAAGTAATTTATTTTCTTTAAAATTAGTGAACAACAGAAATAAGATCTTAAAATTCTAAGATGGTTTTATGCTTTTGTGGCAGGTTTGGATTAGGAGAAATCTGGAAATGTTAACTGATAACTTTTTTTGAACAAACTTACAGAACCTTAGAAGATAAACAAAAAATGTCAATAACATCTATGTGTCTGTAAAGATCACATGCTAGCACAGGCCATGGGTGTAACCAGGCTAAAACAAACAGGTTCAGAAAACATAAGAACTCAAAAAGAGTTTATAAAAAAATGCGTTGAATAACATCCCTTTGTTTAAAAAAAAGAGATACCTATATATATTTTAGAATCTCTATTCTTTTAGTTTCCTTTAAATAAGTTTCTTTAGGTTTAGTATAATATATATTTAAGGTTCTTTAATTTTGGTTAGATTAACAAAAAGATCTTTATATTTAATATATGTAGATTTTCAAAAAATTTTTAAATTTCTGAGTTGAGTCTGGCTCAAAGACCCAATATGTCCTAAACCTGCGTCATAGATTTGGAAGCAAGCACAATGTGCCCATCAGCTTCTTAACACCTTTGGCAAATCGAGGCTGAAAAAGCAGGAAAGTGGCACAGGCACTGACAGTGTACACTTGCTGCTGGGGGCAGGAGGGTGCTGCTGCCAAGCCGGGGGCAGGGTCAGGCTAAAAAGTAGATCGATTCTGAAATCTAGCAGTATGACACTCCGAGTGCGAGAGTTCATTTCTGTCTGTCAGAAGGCAATATAGCACTCAAATGGGAAAAAAGGGTTTTTCGCTTCTCTTTACAACACTTAAAATACAATCACAGTGAAGTTACAGCACCCTTCATATGATTACTGAATTAGTTTTCTAATGAGGCACTTATCTAAATGAAATTAAAGTTAATTCTCACATGTCCAAAAAATGATAAACTACTTCAAAAAACCCAAGGGTGAAAATTCAAGCTAAAGCACTTAAAATTACAGCCAGAACTGGAAACCAGTGGTCATGTGAAAGCAGAGAAAGCAGAGGTCAGCTGCGTGAGCACAGATACCCATGCCTC